CTCCGAAGGCTCTGCAGACAGTAGCTAGGGATCGAGCAGAACTACTGGCCGGTTTCTATCCGCGATGTCTAGCGGAGAACCATGCTGCAACAGTAAGAAAGTGATGGATCATCACTCCTATTCCTAAGGGACGTAGTCGCACAGACCCTACCAATTGCCGTCCAAAAACGACGCATCTTGTACCATCAAGTTAGGGGATCAATCAATGCAGATGCACTGATGAAGAGGCACAACTTTATAGCCCCAGAGTAACATAGCTTCCGCCAAAAGTGTTCATGTACTTCTAACCCATTACTTTCCTGTAATACCTGGACTGAAGTCGTTCATGATGAAGCAGGAGTCGACGTCATACATTTGGATTGCTCAAAAGCGTTTGATAGCTTAAACCATTGAATTCTCCTTCACGAGCTTCCGAACCACGGCAGCATGGCAAGTGTACAGAGAAGCTCCAGCACCAAAAACTTGGAACAACTACGTAAACCAAAGTAACCACTACACACAACTGTTAAGAGAAGACAAAGCCGCCTATCAGCAGAACATCGCAAAAACCTTAAGTGCTAACCACAAACTGCTGCACAAGCCTCTCAGTAGCGCACGAAAGGTGAGGCAAGGATTTCCTCCACTCAGGACGGCTGATGGCCCAACAAGAAGGACTATGGAAGCAGTAAACGCGCTGCAGATGCCATACGCTCCCACCTTTCGAAAAGGCTTTGTCACCAAGCGATCTACCAAGCTTTGTCTTCTGTTCGCCAAAACTAGCCCACATCACTTTTACCGCGGATGCTGTATTGCAAAAGCTGACTTCTCTACGCAAACACAGCTCGCCTGGTGTCGACACCATTCGTCCAGCGACACTGGAAACAGCAGCAAGCCAACTGGCAGGACCTTTCGCTCAGTTTTTCCGGCGCTACTTAAATCAGAATCAAGTTTCCGCTATGTGGAAGCTTGGAATAATAAACCCGGTTCACAAAGGTGGAAACAGAACTGATCCCTCCAACTATCGTCCAGTATCCCTTCTTCCGATACTCTCCAAGGTCAAGGAATCCATAGCTGCCGGTGCACTGGTGTGCCATCTGGAAAAATGTAACATCATCACGCCCGAGCAGCACGCTTTCCGTCGACGAATTTACTAATTGCACGCAGTAGTTGGACCGAGGCAGCCGACGCTGGAGAAGGTGTTGATGTGATCTACCTGGATTTTTCCAAGGTTTTCGATCATCTAGACCATCGGATACTACTCTCCAAGATCCAGCATTACGGGATCGGCGACCCCCTTTTAAGCTGGATGACCAATCTTCTACTTCAACGGCAATTAGTGGTCCGAGTTCGGAGCTCTTTATCGGACCCTATGCATGTCGAGTGTGGTGTGCAGCACGACTCAGTTCTAGGTCCACGTTTGTTTTTGTTCATTAATGACATTGCATAGGGAATCGTTTCAAACTTCCTAATGTTTGCCGATAATATCAAGATCTGGCGCAGGATCCACGGGAACGCTGACCAGCATCTGCTTCAGAGTGATTTAGATACGGTGTATCAATGGTTGACCCAAAACTTACTGCATTTCAACGTCAGTAAATCTAAGGTGATTTCCGTCCGACATCAGAGCAGCTACTCATACCGACTAGAAACGAATGTACTGAAACAATCAACTCTCGAACGTGACTTCGGTGTCCTGGTTCAAGATGAGTTGAGTTGCTCCATGCAATCTGAAAGACGGGGAACCAACACGTCGGGTTGTTGCGACGGGCGTTTGGACAAATAAACAGCTCCATATTTCAACAAATGCTCAGTGCGTATGTTCGCCCCCATGTCGAATACGCAATTCAAGCCTGGCATCCGTGGCTGAAACACGACCCCAATGCGCTGGAGCCGCCACAACGCCGGGCATCTAAGAACGTCATTGGAATGCTCAATCGTTCCTACCGGGAGAGGCTGAAACGATTGGGGGTATTCAGTGGAAACTATCGCAGACTATGAGGCGACCTGATTATGGCATACTTGATTCTGTGAGACCCACATCATGTGTGCCGCCCATTACTGAAACTCAGCAGTAATACAAACCTGAGGGGCCACTCATTAAACTCGCAGAACAATACAGTTGTCTAGAGTGCCACAGAAATTTCTTTTCCATCCGTGTCTGTCACACGTGGAATGCTCTCCCAGAATCGGTCGTCTCTGCACCGACACTAACAGTATTTAAAAGACGGTTGGAAGAAGCACTCAGCCACTTACAGTTTGTCACTTAGCGCTACGTTTCTGTCCTACACCTGGAGTATACCATGGAATTAACTGTTAACTGTGGGTGCTGTGAATCTAGGCGGATTGCAGAACTACGGCGGAGCAAACGACAGACCCTTAACTATTAACTATTTTACTATCTTTATCATCATTCTTGTTATGTTGATATCCCCTGCAACTATCCAACGGGACTTGTAAAGCAAAGCTTCTTAACCCGCATAAATTCATTGTTCATTGTTCATTGCGCTGTACCTGATGGTTCGCTGACACCTGGTTTTCTGGGAGTAGTGGTGCGGATCAGTCAGAGGGTTTGCGATAATCACCTACTGTTCCTGCCTCCTCCATTTGTCGAGCCCTATTGGCCCTCTGCGCTTCCATGTCAGCATGCAGGCTCAGCTTTAGCTCGCGCCTAAGAATTCGCCTATTTGTATTGTGCTCGGAGCCAGCCTAGAGGTTTCTTCTGAATTCCAATCTGTTCACCGACCTCTCGGATATCCAATGACTGGTGCGGTAACGATTGATAGTGCCACAAACGGCGACTCCTACATATTGCAAGGCGGCTGAGATCCTATTCTATTGAAGCTCAGTGTCGTTAGGACAAGACAGCGGAAGTCCGGTACGCAGTGCGTCTTGATAGGCTTAAATAACTGAGTGCTGTGATAACTTCTCAGTTGCTAATTGAGGGAGACATTTGGCATGCCTCCCGGTTAACGTTATGGAAAGAGGACAGCGTAGCAGGGAATGATCAGAGTCGACGAAAGTACTCCAGAAACAGCGACTATCCTGCATGGAACCACGCCACCTGTAAATTGGGGAAACGTGATCTACTTGTGTCCATGGCTGATCATTTACAGGAGGACGCCAAGTGGCACTTCGGTGCCCACTGTGTCTAAAAGCGTTAATACTAAGAAACAGCTGGTGCTCTGCACACAGCTGTAATAGACCCCCGCCACTGTCCGTTTGTTCGGAGTTTAGTCCATACTTAACACCTAACAAGGCTTCTGAAGTGCTCAGACGAACTACTTGTGCATTCAAGCCCCTTCCATGAAATATGACATCTAGACTGGTAACTCTGCATAATAGCGTGTTCAGTCAGTGGTAGAAAACCTCCTTTGCAGCATCAGAAGTGCGATCGGTGGGAGCATAAGCGGAAACCACAAACAAACAGCGGATTCAGCCTTGTAGCTGCTCAGGAGCTGGTGAAATTCACAGTAGAAATCCTTCTTAACTGAATCGTAACTACAGTCAGTTCTAACGTAAGCTGTAATCGCAAACAACTTAGGTCTCTCCTCACGACATCTGTTGATTCTGCATGATCCCCGAAGCCGAACTGTACATAGTCGGCTGTTAATCGGGAACCAGTCCAACAGTGCAGCATCGGCTTTGCTACTTAGCGCTACACAAACGCCAGCCAAACCTGCCACTGCTGCTTCTGGATCACAAGATAGAAGTAAGTGAAAGATGGCTCTGTGGTCAGTGGCAGATTTCAACTCAGTCGCAGTCCTGAGATCTTGTAAGCGCATTTCAGAAAGACAGCAAACATCGATGGCATGGGATTCCAAGATGAGCGCAAGACCAGCATGCTGCCCCATCTGCATGAGTGTACGTACATTGAAGCATGCCAGGCGGAACGAGGACCGAGGCTCAAGGATTGCTGCTGGACGGACTCTGTTAATGTCGACGAAACCATCGGGAGTGGAATCATGGAAACAGGAATCAGCTAGTAACGAATAACAGTGCTTGGTAACAAGTTGAACTGGTAGTGTATGAGTAAGGTGTGCAGGTGGCAGAAATTAAGGCAGCTGAGCGCGATATGCAGACGAACAATCTATGGTTTTGTCAGTGTACGTGAAACTACCCAGTTGACCAAGCCGAAGTAGGGACTTGTCTTAGGGGACACCACAACTAGCCTTTAGTTAAATAGCCTGCCTGCAAGGCAGCGAAGCGAATGCAGTGAATCGCATCCATTGGAATCGGTGACTGAATATTCATTCCGTACGTCTTTTGTTTGGTCGGTTACCAAACAGGGGCGTAATCCTCACCATGATATCAGCACATTTTCTGGAGCACAATGCCCACCGAGGTGAAGCAAAGGTCAGAGGCTTTATTTAGTGGCGAGTAACATCCGCCACGTTGCAGTGTTGTAAAACAGACATTTTTATAGCGAAAACGCGTGCCAGGCGAAAACGCACACTGTCGCCGAACACTTTGCTGGAACGGAGTAAACCCGAATCAGATGTTCGTAAACCGTCACACCACATTAAGGTGCAGTTTCGTTGCGACGGAACAGTATCGTGTACATGCCAGTAAGAGGTGAACGCCTTGTAAAGCTAACTAAAACTTGACTCTGAATATATCAGTAGATCTATAGAGTACCTACCTGAAAAACAACATTATCACTGCGGCGAAATATTCTAAAAGGGGAATTACGAAAACTGTCTACACTGCAGAATTCGGCAACTGGGGTCATCCGTTTGTATAAATGAAGTGTTGTCATCAGTTTTACTTCGAAAGCAAATCCTCAGTCTTATCAACTAAGGTCAAAACATGCAACGGTAACTTGAGGTTTGCAGGTTGAATGCTGCTGAAAGATCCCCTCTGTGTACATAGCTGCACCCTTGTGTTGAGCCCTTGCTCGTGTTTTAAGCAGCTACTGACTAACCCTATACACAAAGTCACGCACAGAAGGAGGGTGCGCTCGTGCCTCCAGCGCTTTGCCCACATCAACTTATCTGCTTCCGCCCACAGAGCACAAGCCGATGCTACTCGAACATAGTTTATCGAAATGAACAATAAAATTCATTTGAGAAGTACAATTATAAGCGGTAAAATATGTACAATCATATTGAACTGATTAAAATAACGCAGTCATACGACGTACAGTAACGGATTTTTTAGAAGAAAAGTTGTAAACTAAGAGGCCATCTGTGATGACAAATACGGATGCATTAATAGGCGCAGTTGCACAAAATCTTTCCCCAGGATGGCGCCATAAAGGAACAGGGAAGCAGTACTCCGTGTTTATTCCATCCTAAATAAGATGATCGATGGAACACTCGTTCTTCGGTTTGTCATAACGACTGGTTAAACTTTCGACTAAGACACTGGGTTCACAACTGCCGAGTTAAATTATTACATATCTGTGTGAGGAAATGTGGATGTAACTGAAGCGGCGCGCACGGAGTTGATGCTAACTGGTCGGCTGCATAATGGCTCGTAACTTCAAAGTAGGAGAAAGACAAATCACGGATCGTGTACTACTACCACTTCAAACTACCTAAGAGTTTACTATGTTGAATGAGTGAAAAAATCACAAAAGTAACTGAAGGTAGGGCTCAGCAAATAGCAGGCGCATCAATTAAATTGCGCTAACTCATATAGGCTCGTATAAGAAAGAAAAGTTGAATAAGGCGTAACACAAGAAACGGAACTGTGAGATGGTACCATTTGCACCATTTAAATAAGTGTAAAGAAAATTGTTGAACATGTTGCAAAAATTAATCATGAGCATTAAAGTACTGAACCCACTGACGGTTAACACTTTGTTTCATAAACCTCCGGTACCGTGCCAGAGTGCCTTCCCAGCTTGCTTGAATTTCCGTCTGCACCGAATACAGTGTCCTTTATTTCAAAACAGTTTCTATCGTTTTGCAGACGTTGCTTTTCCCGCTCATTCGCGCCATGCGTTTGATTCAATGGAGGGATTTTAAGGGAAAGAGCACCAGAAAAAGAATTGGAGAGCCCATTTGATTGATCTGTTTTGCCGGAAGTAACAGTGACTGGCTTATGACCCTTTCCATTCATTGCATTATCCGAAACAGATTGATCTGTTGCCAGTTGTACAGGAGCACCGGTAGTCGGATATTGTACAAGCAGAGGTTTGTTGGGTTGTGGACTGATACTACTGAGGCTCGGCTGAGACGATGAGACGGATCTGATGTTCACAGCTGGAGACGATTTCTGCTGTCCCACCTGATTATGACTATGCAGCTGGGATGTCTGGTTATGTTGTTGTTGCGGCTGCAGCTGTTGCTGTTGAGGTTGCGACGGTTGTGGTCCGAAACTAGGCGGAGTACCACCGATGTACCGCGAGTTCAGGCCGTTTGACATTTCAGGAATTTGATGAGTAGGAACCGCGGGCAAATGCTGCGTGTTGCCCACACTGTTGATTGTTCCAGCAGGCAGAGGACTTGCAGTTGGAGGTGGTGTATTTGACGATGGTGGCCGCAGTTTCGCATTAGGAGTGGTTTTAAAGGATACCTGTAGGACTCTGTTGCCGAGAGCGAAGCCATTCAGTGAATGAATTGCCAGAAGGGCCTCTTCATAATTACTCATTGTCACGAATCCAAAACCTTTACACTTGTTGGTAGTAGGGTCTCTGATTATTTTCACCGTTTGTACCGCGCCAAATGGACCAAAAAGTTGCCAAAGGTTTGCTTCTTCTGTCTCGGGGGCCAAATTATAGACGAAAATGCACCACCCTGTGGCAGTCAGAGCGCCTGAACTGGCTGCAACTGCCGGTGCCAGCAATGGGTTTACCACCGCAGCCGCACTTGCCATCGCTGGTAGAAAATCCGCTGCGGTTGATCCGGGCGAACCAGCGCCACTAGCTAAGGCATTGGAATATTTTAAACGATTAGAGATAGATGCAATCTGGTGAAGCGGGTTTAACAAGCCTGCTGCTGCAACCGCCGTGGCCGCTGCTGTGGCAGCTGTACGTGAAGGCGGAGCCACAACAGAGGCAGCCACAGACTGAAGCTGTGCCGCTTGCTTCAGCAACGCAAGACTCAAACTATCGTGTCGCACGGAGTTTGGCGAGTTGGCAAACTTTACTGTGATGGGCTCACTCGGTGCACCGTGAGGGTGATCCGGTGGCGCTTGATATCCATTCAAACGGCGAATGGCCAATTCGGCCTCATGACGTTGGTCGAACCTGATGAATGCCACACCACGTGATAATCCGGTTTTGTTGTCGTAGAGAATACGCGCTGTGATTATTCGTCCACACTGATTAAAAAGCTCCTCTAACTCAGCCTGTGTCATTTTTTTCGGTAGTCCACAAATGTATAGGTTCGCACCTTTGATCGATTCAGAGCTGGGCCGCGCGAGTGAGACCTTGATGGTTTTATTCTGCAGCCTTAGACCGTTCAGTGTTCTGATAGCCTTATCGGCGTCGACTGCTCTGATATACTTAACGAAAGCATATCCTAAGCTTTCCCCTGTAGATTTTTCCCGGACCAACTTGCAGCTTTCGACTTCACCAATACTGGAAAACAGAGCTTTAACCTCTTCTTGTGACATAAAAGGCGGTAAATAATTTACAATCAAATTAGTTTTATTAGACGCATCGGGAGTGTAGTTCGTAGTTCCGATAGCATTATTATCGGTCGGTGAGGTCGGTTGCATTGGAGAGTTGGTCCACTCGGAGTTACCAGTTGGACTGGGTGCATGTACCAAGTAATTGTTCGGGGGTTTGTTATATCTCGCCTCGTAAGAAATGTAGTTCATCGGCATTTTTCTTGTGTTTAACACACCCTTACGTCCGAGGTTTCCATTGCATTGACCCAACATATAAGCATCACTCTGACCGAGAGGCTGTTGATAGTCGTGTGCACTTGTGTCTTCTCCTTGTTGATAAGCATAGGAATCCCCTACCACTCCGAACTCCTGCGATTTTTGCGCTGCTTTCAAGTAACCACCTTGAGGAAACATCTCACGGACTCTGTTTGAATGTGAGTAAGGTGTATCACTCACATTTGTGAGGTCGGTAACTATTGTGGATCGACCATCTAGCGGAGGGTCTGATGCCGCACGCATGCTGATCTTTTCGCCTGCTTCTTTTTGTTTTTGAAAGAGTGGGTAGCACTGTAACTCCTCCATAACGGCCCTTGAGGAAGCTGCTTCCTTTTGGGTTAGCACTCTCGCAGCCGGGGACATGGTTGGCGCCGAGACCATCTTATCGGTATTGTCAGAACATGGAGAAATTGAAGTGGAATAGTTACTGGAGTCGGTACTCGATTTCTCCTGACAGTCTTTTTCCTCTGTTAGGGGTGCTTCGTTTGGTAGCTTAGTATTTGGTAGACTTGCATGAATCAAACTGGATGCAGAGTCGTTAGCTTCGAAAATGCCCTGTTTTACTTCCTGATTGCCTTGCTTTCCGTGTGCAGCATCGTAATCCAGAAAATTGACTAGATCAATGGAACCAGATGAGCAAAGCTCGGAGGCTGTGCGGTGAACTTCAGGTGAACTACACATAGTAGAAACTGGGGGAACTGAATGTGTATGCAAGACTTTGTTTTGTGCACAATGATCATCTCCAGTATCGCCACTAGCCCGCTGGTCCTGTCCTGGTACAGCAGTGTTTTGTGGGCAGAGTACACCGGTTGAAACCGCATTCCGCAGTGTGCATTCCTCGTTTCGACTATCTTGAGACATTATTGCACAAATATAGGTCCAATCAACCTTGATACGCGGTGCGATACGATTTGCTGAATTCGATTACGAAACGTAAACCGGTACTTTTTCTGAGCAAATGTCTCCCAGGCACTGACAGAAATAGACTTCAATCAGGTTGTGTAAAATTCCTTACCGCTTGATTTTCTGGTGCGAATGGTGTGAAAACGTCCAATTACGAAAAAGGTAGACAAATGGACTCAAATTGAACTATTCCGACTACAGTATGCTTCATTTAAGAGCCACCAAATTCCCCAGGCAGCGATCGATTGCACTATTCAAACCGATCGAACCTATGCTGTTGGCCAGCAGGTGGACTCAGTTCAACAAGTGCGCCTGCGGTCGATCGATGTACTAACGTGATGCCCCCAAACGTAGCAGCACAGAAGTGATTCAGTCAGCTGTCTTTCACAACTGATAGAAACATGCTTTTCACGGCTATGAGCGTATTTCCTGAACCGCCTGTGTGACATGGTTTGACCTAGACCTTTCGGACGGTTTTCTCTGAACGAAAAAGGTCTTAAATATGCGATATTTTGCCATTCGCGGCCCCAGTGATCTTGGAAAAGGCAAAGTTTAACTACCGATAACGAAGGCAGAAAGAGTAAGTAGAACAGGAGGCTAGAATGAGTCTGTCGGTGTCCATTCAATAAGCCAAGCTACCACCCATTGTCTTGATTTGCCTTCAAGTTCAAGTCGGACCGGAATCCCTGCAATGTTCCACCTTACGGAACGTCAGTAAACCCAGAGCAAACAATCGGTTTAGTTACTAGTATGTAATCTCTAATGCAGTACGGGATGCCTTGCAGAGCCCATGTGGTAAGAGTGGAGAAGGATAACCAGGTCAAGGATGTAAGATGGAAAGTAGGTCAGATTTGCAAATGGTCATCCTTTACCCGAACTAGAATTATTGGTAGCTTCTGACTTTCGTAAGCAAAATATTACTGAGGAAATAGGGGGATTTGCACAGTTTGCACGAAATTGATTTTAACTAGGCTCAGTTAGTCAACCACTGATATTCGGGTAAGCTCTGGACTAGCTTTTCGTGCTTCCTTTACGTGTTAGAGGTACGCGGAGCTCGAAAACGTGGCCCAATGAGTCTTGGTGGACCCCGGCATCCGGTACGATCAAATGGATTGTAGTACGATGGAATAGTGGTTTTATACGTGTAAAACGCCACTGACTAACAGGTCCGCCGGTGACCGAGTGGTCGGCACGTTTGCTTCCCAACCATAAGGTCACCGGTTCGAATCCGCGTAGGGGTGGGCGTCCTCGCGGTATACTCAGCCCGCGCGCGACTGGTGGTGGTTGCGCGGCAGCGAAGCGCCGTTACGGCGTATAAGCTGACATTCATTTTTTCATTTCATTCATTTTTCTATAGGATGGTTATAGTGAAACAATAAAATATAAGATAGCTAGATAGGGTTTACACCAGTAAAGTCACTGAAGTATACCTAGTGTAAACTGTAAGTCTAAGGTAAATCCGTAACGAATGACGGCAAATGGGATGTTGGTACCAAATTTGTCGCCCCCTAGTGTACCTATACAGGAGATGAAAAAGTAGAACAAAATCTAGAATTTGACTGCCAAGGAAATCTCGTACAGACACTTATGTTTATCCATGGGTAATCAGTCATGTAATATGGTGCAGCGAAATGAGTGTACGGTCAACCCGGGCTTTAAAGTTTGCCAGCGTGGGAGCACATATGACAGATACCGGTAGGGCATTCTAAGTACGGCAAACGCTTACGGCAAAGAAATTCCGCCGGCATTCCAAACGACTGTGCTTTCTTTCCAGCTTGAGATGGTGGCCTCTCAAATTGCTGTTGTGACTGAGCTCTAGTAACTAGCGGCACGTGTGGTTGGGATCTCTCAAAATCTGGTAAAGCAAAGTGAGGTCCCCGCGCAATCGCTGATACTGTCCACTGAAGACCACGAGTACTTGAAGCTTTCGTTCATACGTCAAATTATACAGACCCTTGACATTCTTGGTTGCCCGGCGTTGGGGTATCTCCAAGGCGGTGAGATCTCTCCTCAGCCATGGCTGCCAGACCTGTAATGCGTATTCCACATGTGGCCGTAGGTATGAGTCGAGAAGTTGCAGAAAGATCGTAGGGTCGGATCGTCCGATTGCTAGCTTCAGGAGGCCTACATATTGGATACCCTGCTTTGAGGCCGTCTCAACCTGATTCGAACCTCCAAGGTCGACCTGGACTAAAACTTCCAGATCATCCTCGTCAGAAGACTTTTGAAGCTCCTGCCTGCCGAGTTTGTAGGAGTACACCAACGTGTGACGTAGGTGCAGCACTCCACATTTGTCCACAATGAACCGAAGTAAATTTTGCAACGACCACGCGCATGCGCTATCCAGATCAGCTTGAAATACTGTGATATCATCTGGTGTATTGACCGCATTCCACACCTTGATGTTCTCGGCATAAAGCAGGCAGTTCGTTAATACACGTCAAAAATAATCGCGGTCCTAGTACCGATCCCTTTGGCACTCCGCATTCAACTCGGTTGGGATCTGACATCGATTCACGCAGTCTTATTTGCAGGTGCAGGTGTAGGAAATTACTTTGATTCATCCTAGGAGAGGATCGTCAATACAGAATGCCTAGAGTTTGACGAGCAGAATGCTATGGCCTAACCGGTCGAACGTCTTTGAGAACTCGAGACAACTCCTGTGCCAGAGTCTACTGCTTCAGTCCAGCTGGATGGTGCTAGCAATAGATTTGTAGTGCACGATCGATTTCGTCGGAAGCCATGCTGTTCCGGTGCGAGGAAGTGAAATTCTTCCAAGTAGGCTGTTAGCGCAGCAGAAATAATAGCTTCCATGAACTTTGAAAGAACCGGTAGTAAGATTATAGAAAGGTAGTTGGCTGGAGTTGAACGACTACCACCATTGGGATTAGGGGTAATCACATGTCGGGCATGTACATTTCTTCAAAACAGCGTTGGAAGAGTCGAGCCAAAGACTCAGCTAAGCTCTGTCCTATCGTCGCTGGCGATTTCGTGTGTATATTATCAACTCCAGGAGAGCTGTGCTTGTGCATACTCAACAGCTTTTTTTAGTACAGTTTCTGCTGTGAAGCAAATGTGAGTGGGTTTTGGTGGTGAAACAACCATTGTCATAGGGTTATGTGGTCAGTGATCACAATGAAACGTTGAAGCATATTGTGGGCACAGGGTATTCGCCACCCCCTTCGGTGTCCGTGTGCGTCCGTTCGCTGTTTGAAGAGGAGGGGTTCCACGTTTCACCTTACATAGACTGTTGACGTGTTGTTAAAGGAACTTGTGATTTGAGGACATACGCACTGCCAACGTCAGTTGGTGCGCCATTCTATCCTCGCGAACAAGCTGAGTACAGTGGTTACGTAGGGTCGTATGAGCCACCCAGTCCTCGGTGGTTGGTGAGAGTTTGTAGATATGCCAGGCTGAGTTTCGCAACGCTATACACTTGCGTGTCCTACTTCGTAGATTCGAGACAACGATTCTCGGGCGGAAGGTCTTAATCGCTGACGTTTCGGCAACCGGAGGGTTAAACTGGCTGGCGCAATGTTCCCAAGCACTAGCTGGTACCTCGTCTGCCAGAAAGGTCCATCTGGTTGTCTCACCTAGTCGAGCTAATATTTCGTAAAGTATATACTTTCACATTTACACTACATGATATAGCCCATGACCACCAGATGCTGGCACTAATGCACAACAGACAGTGGACAGTGCCATAACCATACTCGAGAATGAGTCACTCCAAACTCCTTGCACACAATTTGATAAACGCTACTACTGTAGAAACTGGATTTCTGCATCTTGTCGACCCAAGATAGCTGCACACGAGTAAGCGTTGTCTTTGATATTTTTAATTATTTTTCTCGCCTATTACGTGATCAATGTCCAGTCACCTTATGGCTTTGTGTGCGCACATTCTAATTTCAAACCCTTTATACGGCAGTACAGTTAAATCTGTGATTGCCCGAACCGTCGATTCCATTATCCCTTGATCTATCTTTTCTCACGCTAACCACCCTACGGGACATGTCAAACACCTGCTATTTTGCCCGTTATAAACCATTGTTCATTGTTCGTTGCGTCGCCCATTTCCACGGGATATTCTGCGCAGCAAAGGTATCCGAAGAGTAATACTGCATGATTGCTGCGGCCCAATGGGACGTCGACGATCACCCTATCGATCATTTGTTCTTCGTTGGGGAATATCCGATCTAGTCTCGAACACTTATCATGTTCTCGGAATCGGGTGGGAGTGTTGTGGTGATCATTCAGCTAGTGACTGAAGACAAACTCTTGTAAATCAACCTTAAACTTTTCTCCGGGAGCTGCTTTGGATTCCAGAGCGTGGATGTTGAAATAGCCAGTAATGAGAATGTGACTAACTTGTGTTTATCACTTTATTGCGGATGCCAGATGAAAGTCCATCTCGGGCATGGAGGAACGAAGGCGGTAAGTGACCGCCACTAAGCAAGTGTCGTCACCTTTTAAACCTAGACGGCACCAAAGGAAATCTTGTACCGTGCTGACCGGATCCCCTATGAGCTCATATTAGAGGTCGTTGCGGGAGTACCGAGTCGCCCCTCCACCTTTGCTGGGTCGGTCGTGCCGAACAATGGACATGCCTGGCAGTGCGATCAACATGTCACTTATGTCAGGGCGTAACTATGTCTCCGTTATAGTGATAAGGTCGCAGGCTTTTCATACTTGACGCAGCCGCATTTCGGAATGTTTACTCAGTAAGACTTGCGCTTTGGTGTACATACAGGTAAGCTTCTCGGATATCAAAAGCTGTTGACTAAAAGCATTTGAATTTTGTATATTTGTGCCGACCGATGAGAGACCGGCACGTAATCGTTTTTTGTGTGAATTATCAAATCTCGATAGGAAAGCAAACAGTTCTGGATCTCACCTGCACCTGTGGGGTATAGCCCACTTGCAGCCTTCTTCATAGCTCCGGGGCTTTTCGCACAGGTTTCTGAATCGATGTTGTGGTTATATTGAGTCACAGGTGGTGCCTTTCCCACGAGAACAGCGAATGGCTGCGGCTCTCTGCCTACTGTCTTCAGTGCTAGTTCCGAAGGAAGTATGTTGCGTAGTAAGCACCAACTACGCAGTAAATTTACAGCCATCTGTTGTGACTGCACCGTTAGTTGCAATACCGTCGGGCCACTGCCTCTGTAGTTTGGCGACACAGGTAAACGTGTAATCGACTGAAGTATGACGTAGCCCGCACAGAGAGCCTCACGGATGTAGCGCCATTCTTCCAGGTCATGAGCACGGATTTCTTCCTTGCTGGTTATCGGTAGCTCGGTCACGCTAAAACGAAAAT